TGTCTCGGGCGGGAATCCTCTACATCAACCCCACCGACCTGGGCTGGAACTCGTGAGCCTGAGGAGGGAGATGGGATGGGACAGAATGGGATGGGATAGATCAGGTTGAGGTGGGATGGGAAGGCATGGGACAGGTCAGCACAGGATGGGATGGAACAGGACATGATTGAAAGGGACAGGATGAGATGGGATGGGATAGGTCGAGATGGGATGGGATGGGATGGGATGGGACAGAATGGGGTGGGACAGGCGCTGGCCCATCTCCCACTTGCCTGCAGCCCTGCCTGTTCGTCCCCCAGCATTGTGAGCAGCTGGATCGAGACGAGGACGGTGCAGTCCGAGAAGGCCAATTTGATGATCCTGTTCGACAAGTACCTGCCAGTGTGCCTCGAGCAGCTCAAGTCTGGATTCAAGACGATCACCCCCGTCCCCGAGGTAACGGCGGGGGCGGAGGTGCCGGCCCCGCCCGGGGGGTGGAGTGCCTCCTGCCGCCGCAGACGGTCCCGCCGGCCGCCCCACGGGAGCTCTATGAGCTTTACTTTGTCTTCGCCTGCACCTGGGCCTTCGGCGGGTCCATGTTCCAGGACCAGGTTCGGTGCCCGCCGGAGCCCCCTGCCCGGCCCCATCCCTCAGCCGTGGCCCTGCGGGAAACACCACCGCGGTTCTGTTGGCCGGTTTCTCAGTTTTTCTCTCTCGTTCCTCCCAGCTCGTGGATCACCGCGTGGGGTTCAGCAAGTGGTGGGTGAACACGTTTAAAACCATCAAGTTTCCTTCTCAGGGGACAATTTTTGACTATTACATTGATCCGGAAACGAAGAAATTCATGCTCTGGGCTGAAAAAGTGCCAAAATTCGAACTCGACCCTGAAGTCCCTTTACAGGTACGTCCCAGGAGCTCTCGGGGTGTGCGTCTCGTTTGTTGATTACTCCGTGCTCTTCCCCTGAGCATCACGGGGCAGGACCCGGCGCCCAGCTTGGCGCAGGGATCCAGCTGGCTCTGCCACGCCGCGCAGCCTGGCGGCACCCGGCAAACCCCGCGGCTTTCTGCGGTTCCGCTTTACCCTGCGGAAACCGCGGCGAGAGCTGCAAGTCACAACTCTTCTTTTGTAATTTCAGATCAACCTGTGGCTCCGTAGGGTCTCATGAAATAACGTTACCTGTTGCCCGAACACAGAAATGTGCTTTAAGACTTTATCTGCTCATTTTTCGAAACACCGTGCTGAGGGAGGGGGGCTGTGCCACACAGGTCGGGCCAAGGGAGCGGTGCCGCGGCGGAACTTGGCCCGTGCGCTGGCTGAGCGAGGACACTGGGGACAGTCTCAGGAGCTGCTCTGGGTTGTTCTGCGTCAACAACTCGTTTTTCTGACAGCTCCTATTTTTGGTCAGAAAGTCTTTAGAATAACCCAGCACCTGAGACCTTTTGCTTTAGAGAGGGACCAGGTTTGTACGGAGAGTGAGCATCTCTCATGAAACCAGCTGGCATTGCCGGGAAAAGCAGGCACAGCTCCCAGCACGCTGCCCACTGCGCTGCTGGAGGATCCCACCTCTGCTGGCAAACCCCAGCGCCGGCAGCGGTGAGCTCTGGGCGCTG